CCCCAAAACCCCAAAACCCCAAAACCCCAAAACCCCTTTTTTAATTCTCACAATTGATAAATTAAGAACTAAAATAATAAAATGGGTACACTTACATTTTGCATCCTATCTGGACGAAGAGATATAGCAAACTTTTATCAAGATTTTGGAGTAGTTTCAAGAAATAAATTTAAAATCACTTGATATAAATATCAAAAACATAGTTTTTATTGAAGATTTAGACATCCTGCTGAGACTTACCACTTTAATTCAAATTTCCTGAACAAATATAGGCTCTCGCATACCTATTTTAAAGATTCTTATGATTTCATGAAAGCCTTTTAATATCTATAATATATCAAAAAAGTTAAATTTCAATTAACTAATTCATTTCCTAAAATCAAAACTACGAGTTAACCTAATGCTAAAACACATAATTTCACCGTATAACTAGAAAGAACTTTTTTTAGCCTTCTTCAAAACTCCATTGCTCCTTCGTTGGATATCTGTTTGGTAAATTTTCTTTGAGAAGTAGCTAAATTAGAAAAAATTAAGAATTTTGTGTAGGATTTTGGAATTTTTGGGGGATTTTTAAGGATTTTGTTCCTATTTGGAGATGTGCTTGTAGTGGGTTTGGGTTAAAATTTTGGAAAGGGGGAGTAATTTGAATTGAGGAGATTTTAGAGGAGATTATGAGTTTTTGGAAGGTTATGAAAGCTTTGTATCTTGGAATTTTGATTTTGTTGTGTTAATCTTTTGTGAATAGATAAGGATAAAAGCTTGAAGAGTAGGATAGAGACTCTTATACCTGAATGGGTCAAGAAAGTTTATAAGTGGTATTGAGAAAGGTCAGAAAGAAATAAAGAAGTTGATGCTTACATACTAAGTGTCATTGAAACGAGCCTCAAAGGCCCTTTCATGAAGTATATCAAAATATTTTGCTGGATAGTTATTGTTATGTGTCTTTTAATTGCAGTATCCAGCTATCAGCGTAAGTAGAAGTTATTAAGAGCTATAGTTGATGGAGAGATGTCACAAGAAGATATCTCGAAAGGATTATATGCACTTATTTTTGCATTATTGACTTTCGGAGTTCTAGTTGTCTTAGAGTATAAACCCTTGTATACTCTCTATGCAGTTCCAATATTGATTGGCACAGTAATGTTCATGGCTGTCGATGTTACCTTACAGAGCAAAGAGTTTTGACCAGGAGAGTACTTATTTGAAAATATTTGATTCTGATTTGCAATGATCAATTTCGTTCCCACTCAGTGGAAACTAAATACATTAGCGTTTGGATCAATGATGCTCTATCTCATTTATGGCTCTTACACTATCTACGGAATTACAGAACCTAGGCTTGCCATTACTATTTTATTCACAATCTTCTGGTTCGCTCTCTCAGGCTACTTGCTGATTGAGAAAAACAGGAGTTTGTACTTGGAGATCCTGAAAAATAAAAAATGATTAATGAATCTGAAGAAAATTTTACAAATTCTCCCATTTGGAGTGGTAATTTGGCCATCAGAGTCTGAAGACAAGTGGTTTACTAATCAGGAATTTACACACAAGTTTACTAAGATCAGAAATGACTTGAAGGAACTCCAAGACCTCGATGTTTCCTTCATTAGCGAGGAGGATACAATAAAATCAAATAATGCGAAGCATGATCTGGAACAATTTTTGAAAGAAAACTCTAAAAAGCTCTCTGATACTCAAAATTTTATGGTAGAGAAGGATATCAAGATTGCTTGCAATCTTCTAGAAGCTGAACTCTCTTCCAAAGGTGATGAGGCATCAGAATATAGAATTTGTAAGGTTAAAACTCTCATGATTGAGTGGGAAGGAGTAGATGCATTTATGCACGTTTTTGAAGACAACACAGAGATGATTAAACTTCAAGAGGAAAAGAATGCAATGATGCTTGAAGAAGCCAACAGTAACATCAAGTTACAGAAGATCATGTTTGCATCAGCTTCTCATGAGTTCAGAACTCCTTTGAATTCAATTATCAATTCTTTTGACATTGTTCTGAATTCATTTTAAAAATATTTACGAGCTTGCTCTCCCATATCTTAGTAGAGTTGACGCAGAAAAGCAAGAAATCACTGAAATGAACTTAGAGCTCCTTCATAAGTTCATAAAAATAGGCAAAAGCTCCTCCTTGATGCTGCTGACGCTTATTGAAGATGTTTTGAACTTAGCCAAAATGGAGGCGGGAACCTTCGCAATTTTAAAAGAGGATTTCAAAATTTGGGAAGTAATCGATGACGTATATGACATTTTCCAAATTCAATGTAAGCAAAAGGAGATCAGGTTTGATCTAATGATGACTGATTTTACTAAGAACCTCACCATTCATTCTGATAAGTCTAGGCTCAAGCAAGTCCTCATGAATCTTCTTTCGAATTCCATGAAGTTTACTTTCAATGGATCTATTGTTCTTGGCTGAAAGATCATGAACAAGAGAGGTAGAAGCTTCGCAGAGTTCTGGGTCAAAGATACAGGCATTGGTATTAGCCAGAAGCAACAAGAGAAATTATTCACCTTGTTTGGCATGGTTTCTGAAACTAAATCTCTGAACCCAAATGGAACAGGAATCGGCCTGACAATTAGCAAATAAATATGTTGAAGCCCTTGGAGGAGACATCTATTTGAGCTCTGTGCTGAAAAAGGGTACACAAGTGACTTTTGTGATCCCCATTGACCAAGAAAAGAAGAGTCTTGATGATATTTTTCAATCGAGCCAATCTCTATCATGTAATCTCTTTTTAAGCATAAGCCCTAGTTTGTTTTGTTATTTCGATTGTTTTCTAATATCTTATAGACTTTATCGAGCAGGAAGACGGAGGTATTGGCAGAATCAATTCACCTTGGGAACATCCTTGTTCTAAAGGAAAGTTCACGGACCATGTTAAGAAAATGTTACCCAAGGTTGCGAGTAGCAAGTTTTTAGCTACTTTGTAATTATCTTGTAAAAAGCCAAATATAATGCTTAAATAAAAAGATTATTCAAATATCATTAAATAAGCCTAAGTAGTAGAATTATGAGTAATGCATTATTACATCAAAATGCTTCTTGACCATATCTTGCTTAATTATAACAAGTTAGGATTATTTTGAAAGGTAGAGAAACTATTATTTTTGAATATGAAGCGGGATGTTTGTCCTAAATACATTAAGGCTTCTAAATTTGTACAACTTGGGCAATAACAAATCTTTCTGGGACTTGACAAACTTCATTCTATTGCTTTATATCTATAGAAGGGTGCTTGAAGTAATCTTTTCATAAAATTCTAAACTTTTTTATATAACAAAAATTCTACACTAAACTCTTCCAATATCTTCAAATTTAAGGGGAAGTCTATTCAAATCAGGCTACAAGACAGCCGCCAAGCAATATCTGAATCTTTCCCAAATCCAACAAATTCCCAGCCCCTACACCCCAGAACTAACAACTTCCCTTTCCAAACAATTTCTCCAACACTCCATCTTCACTAAAATCCCAATCTTAGTAATTCCCCCAGGGGTTTTGGGGTTTTGGGGTTTTGGGGTTTTGGGG